AGCAATCATTCATTATCCTACTCGTAGTTTCTCAGCGAAAAGAACCATCCCAACTAATACTAGTTCACCAGGACTTCCCTTTCGCATCTCAGAGTGTCCGTGGGGAATTTCTCCGGAAAGAGGGAAAGGAGGCAGTGATGGTCTGGGACGCCACCATTCCCGCCACGCCATGTAGGACCCAGATCCTGGCGCGCGGTCCCCGACCAGCCTCAGGCAGAGCCCGGGGATCTGTAAAGATCTGATCCCTTCTCCTCCCTCCACCCCCTAACCAGTGAAAAGAAAACTGGGCCCAGCCTCTGTGCTCTCATTCAACATACCCTCCTCCTCGCTGTACCCCATTTCTTCCCACTTCTTTCCCAATGTAGCCTGGTCCCTTTATCCAGTTCCGAGTCTCCGTAAACACCCTGCTCCCAACACACACACCCCTCCACGCTCCAGCCCGCGCCCCTTGAACCCCACTACACCCGGGTCCCTCCCCCTGGACCTCCCAGCAGCTCTAGCCCTCCCTGCGTGCCCTAGAGCAGACCGGCGCCGCGTCCCTGTACCCACAGGACCCAGGTCCTGCCCCACACGTCACACTCAGGTCCATTCCTCCCGCGACCTAACCTTCCCCGCGCCCCCTCCCCAAGCGCTACCCCCTACACCCGGTTACCCCCGGCCCCGCCCCCCTGAGGGTGTCGCACTCACCGCTTCTGCCGCCGCATACTTAACCGCCGCGGCTGCTATAGCTACAGGGAGCCAAGGCAACCAGCTCTCGCGACACTTTCCTTGGCCACGGCGAGAGCAGACGAGAAGAGACTCGCGCAAGAAAGTAAATGAGTCAGGCTGGAAACGGCGAAGTATATCTCGCGATAGCAGAGTTTAAAATGGCGGACTCAAGGCGTTTTATGGGTGGCCCGGAAAGGCATGGAGGTGGGGCGCGGGCGAGGATGAAGCTTAAATTGGCCGGGAGTCGGAAAACGACTGTAGGCAGGACCGTCCGAAGGGGCTGAGGAAACTTAGCCTGGCAGACCCTACACTGGGATAACTTTAGGGATATGGTCTTCTTTTCCCAATTTCCTCAAACTTAGAGCAGCGTCGCCTTTAGCTGAAGGTTCGTTTTCCCAGCATTTTCCTTCTCCAGGCGGAGTAGTTGGAGACAGGGCAAGCCAGAAACTGACCTTCCCATCTCCTCATTCCGTTCCATCAAGAACTTTTCATCGTTCTTTCCCCACCCTGGTTTGTAAATGGTGTTTAGCTTCATAGAAACGTTTGTCCATGGGTGCCCTGCCCCATCAGTTAGCCCCAGCAATAGAGGAAGTTACCAAAAAAAAAATTTTTTGTATTGACCTTGGATGCAGAAAGGAACCGCATTGGTGTGTGATTTGAATTTTGCAACTGTTGCTTCCTGCCCTGTGGCCACGTCCCCCTTACTTGGTGACTCTCAGCACTTAGTTGTGGGGCTTTTTCTCTCTGCTCTCAGACAACTATAAAAGCAGACTAATTGAACAGCATCTAGAACAGAAGGTGGATTTAAAGAACATTGGTCGGCCGGGCGCTGTGGCTCACGCTTGTAATCCCAACACTTCGGGAGGATGAGGCGGGAGGACTGCTTGAGCCCAAATGTTCGAATCCAGCCTGGCCAACATGGCGAAACCCCGTCTCTACAAAAAATACAAAAATGAGCCGGGCATGGGCCGTAGCGGTGTCTCACGCCTGTAATCCCAGCACTTTGGGAGGCCGAGGCTAGCGGATCACGAGGTCAGGAGATCGAGACCATCCT